AATACATTTGTCTTGATGAAAAGATTTGCCATACGGATTCTTTGTGAATTCCTACGGTTTCATAAATCGAGTGAACTTTAAACTGATGATCAGTTCGAACCAGATTACCGATTTTTTTTTAGATAATGTAATCCTTTTTTTGACGAGAAAAGGCGACCCGGGTTTGAATTGTCTTTAATGTCCTCTCGGCCATCCTAAAAACTCTTAAACCATTCAAATACACATGCATGTGAAAAAAATTCATTGCTATATACTTCTCTCAATAAAATGTTTGTTTCTGTAGCGGTGTTTCCAAATTTCGTTTGAAAACAAATCGTCTCTTATTTTCCTTTTTTCCCCCGAAACATCAAAATAACACTAATCGAACGAAGACAACATATATGTAGATTTGTTTGCATAAAGAAGAGACACTGAATTGAAAATTGAAAGCTTAACGCTAAACAATTATCGGTCGCTAGTGTTTATTTAATTATGCATGTATGTTTCCTTTTTAACTTATAATATACTTTCTCTCAGAAGTAATTGTATTTGAAATTCTTATAGAATCATATATTTGTGTGAAAATTATTTGTTCGTTACTTATACGGGTGGGAGACAGATAATACTATTACATTTGAACATTAGAAAAATCTTCATAGTTAAGGGATTATCACTATTTACCTTCGTTTTAAATTTTATACGACTTGGGAGGGACGCTTTCAGGTAACACGCCACATTTTAAGGAGTTTGAAACCATTTCACGTGTAGAGCATTCTCAAATTCTAAAACTGTGAGAATCATAAGAAAACCTACAGGGAATTTGGAATAAAAATATCTCTACAAATGTTCCTACATCTAGTTTGAAATCAATGTATCATTACAAATGTTCGAAAGTTTTCACGTACGGGGAATGGGGAGGTCACAGGAGTTATTCTGTTTCATCCTCATGCACTTCCAACCGTATTTAGAAACATATAGGGGGGGGATAGAGCGGTATCGTGTGGAATGAATATTACTCTCTAGGGAAGACATTCTGGATAAAGGGATAAAGTTCATCGTCCATAAGATTGGTCGCATATTATTCTCCTATGCAATAGAGAATGTGTGCCAAAACAACGCTGATATCGCACCCCAGGCCACAATATTGGCACCTCTCTGTTTTAGAGACAGCAGGTGACATAATTGATAATACGTATTTCTGAGCGATCTTCACCAATAAAACGCAGTTTGTAGTCAGGAGGAGGGTAATTATGGAATCAACAGACCATATTAAATGCAACCATAATGGTAGTATCCGGCATCGTTGATATTCATCTCATTACGTTGCATGTAAGCATTAAGTGGATCGACTAGTAGCTTACAGTATGGCATTTAGTCAAAGTGCTTATGAGTATAAAGTTCCCTTTTCAAAGTTATAGGAGAAACGTATTCTTGGGGATATCACTTCGTTTCAGATGGTATACGTAGAATCATTTGCTAGCAGTTTCGGTTCAACCATCGTTTTTCTCGTTCTACAGCTTTATATTTTCATCACTGTTGTTCTTTGCTAACGCCATTTTACTTTCTTTAATGACTTCTATCATAATGACAAATTCGTTGCTTCTTGAAATCATCACGGCATTTGCAGCTTTCGTCAAGGAATCTCAAATAAAGCGTAGTCCACTTTCAATTGTGCCTAGTCTGACATTTCAGCGTCTCTCAGAGCAGACAATCGGCAAATGAAAATTCTACAACAACTTCTAATATAGTGATATATCTCCATGCACGCTTACTATGTAAAAGACTTCTGTAGGAAGTAGGGGGCTGAACTTTCGATGTAAATTCAGACACTGGTTCCATGGGTGTTTATATTATTTAGTCACTAACAAGTATTGTATTATCATAATTAGTATTTTCATTAAGTAATTTCTCTCAAAAATATCAGATAATCACGAAAATAAAACTTCCAATATATGCCAGAAAACTTATTTCAATTAATAGATGTATTTAATCTACAACCATGTCCACAATTTTATTCGAAAATATGTGTCAGAAACATGTTTCAACGCATTAAGTTTTGGCCCAACACTCAGAGTATAGAAGATTCTTATATATTTTACAGCACACAATAATTTAAACTTTCCAATAAAGCTTTCTTGGACTGTTAGCCTCACTTTGGAATATGTAATTAACTAGTTCATTATAAATTACCGACAAATCTTTATCTTAAATGTGATTACTAAACTAAAGCTTTGTTACAAATTTCTCTTTAAACAATATAACTGATTTGTCAAAATAAGATAATAAATTGCACTTTCATTGTAATTTTACTAGGATCGTATAAAAAAGTTTCATTTGGAAAATATTTTATCCTTTTGAAAATGTACTATAAACTTACTTATAACAAGCCTTAAAATTGTTTAAATAAATATCATAATTTAATGAAGAGATTATCAATTAACTAAAATCTTTTAAAATGTATAAACATTAATTCCACTAATTTATTTTTAGCTACTTAGTTATTCAAAGAGAATAATGTGCATTAAGTAGCCACTCTCAGAAAAGGTTTCTTTTGCATACCCAATTAAATATTTTTCTTCGTTTAAATTCTAAACTCATCGCGGTTTATTGGAGTAAGATGGATTTTTATATTTGAAAATATTAATACTTTCGATAAGAATGATATAAATGGAATTCTTCTAATTTGGTAATGAAATCATTAATGTACTTTATTCAAATTTGGAAATAGTGGAAACGACTATGTTGAAACACATTAACAGCAAATACATTTCTGGTTTTCTCAAGAATTTTTTGGATTATGAAAACAAAATTTTGAGTTTTTTTTTACTCAAAGAATATAGTTAAGGGAGTTAAATAATGCAATAATTTTTCTTACTATAGGATGGGGAAAGTTTAATTCTTAAGTATATATTTCTTAACATAAATTACGTTTTAGCTATACGTTTGCAATATTGTGATATAATCATAACAGTTTTAAAAAGGCTTAAATAGGATTATTTTTTGAATTATTTTATGAACATTTAGTGCAATGTGTTTGTTTATAAAAGAAAATAAAATACTCGTGATTATCACAATATACACAATCAAAAAGAGAAATCAAGTTCTAAATCGTCAGGGAACGGCAAGGATCTTATGAATATAAGCTATAACGCTAGACGAAATATGACCTAAGAGTTTAGGTCATCTTCCCATGTTTACTTTTCTCATTAAAAAGCAAGAGAGATCAGAGACAAACGATGCAGAAAAGAAGGGGTCGAAGTAACGCTTTGAGGCTATTTATGTGTTAAGTTTAGCAAAAGACTAAGTCAGTATTTAAAGTGCAGCATGCTTTACGTCTACGTTTTTGGATTGATCCTCCGTTTTATTAAATATTGGAAGAAACTGGAGTTTGGGTACATTTAAAAAAAGCCAGGCCTACCTGCCTTTTCTAATAAGCCGATGGAAAGAATTTCGTAAGAGTTTCAGCGTAAGCCGCAAAGTTCAACATTTAGTGCCAGCAGAAAACTTGTAATTCATCATATAATGGTCTGGTGTGTTTCAAGGAAGCATTTGGCTTTTGAACGACATTGATTATAACTGCTATAATCTCTTCATGCTGATTGTAAACAGAAACGAGTATAGTTTTTCAATATCTTACGCGACATAGAAGATGATGCATTTTTAACGTGGTTAGTTTCCAGTGACAAGGCAACATTTCATGTCAGAGGTGTCATTAATCGTCTTTAATACCTATATGGTGACTACAGAGTCCTCATGAAATCGTACAACATGAATGATATTCAAAACATATCAATATATTCAATGTAATTTTTCGTTCAAAACCTTATGATATATTCGTTTTGGCAGAACAAACTTATACAGGAGTTACGTACCTTGAGCTGTTCTGCTGGACTAACTTTTCCCAAAATTTAGAGGACTGCTCCGATTTCATTTTCGAGCTGGACGAGACTTTAGTATATCTATATTCACTGGCATATAGATGTACTAAATTTCATCAATACAACACTGTCAGAATGGTGATTTGTTTGTTTGTAGGACTCACAAACAAACAGTACAAACATGACCTTCACGATTTCAAGAAACTATCTGTTGAATGGGATTTATTTTAAGGGGATATGTGCAGAAACATGCTTTTATACCAACTTTACCTACAAACATTAAGACCTGAAACACAGGATATTAAATGCAATGGAAACAGTCCATGTCATCACCTTCCAAAAGTATGGGGCTCCAAATTTAAATATTACTTTACGATTATACATGCTTGAGGAATTGAACATATCCAACCTTTATAATAGCATTTATTAAATCTAAGTATATTGGGTGTAATTTTCATTTTATTCCATCTTATTTGCATACCACCTTTAAAAAGTATTATGGCCCAAATTCTGATAATTCTTTTTGATATACCCTGCATTTTGTAAGAGAATGATTTCCTTTTGTAAACGCTTCTCTTAGGCATAAAATATATTTCACGCAATCGCATTTATTTTCAGAATAAAAATTGGTTGGGGATTTTATAATTTATTACAGTAGACTGCATATTGCTCTTGTTACTTTCAAAATATATTCACATTAATTTATGTAACAAACATCTCTGATTCTTATGATATACCATACTCAAAAGAGTTACACAACAGCCTTCTGATTCAAGGTTCCCATTTGAGGAAACTGTTTCAATAGTTATTTGAGTATTTAGATAACTATATTATAAGTTGTGCGTTACCATATTTTAGAATTGTTTAGAAAATCAATTTTTTTACTATTAAAGAAAAGTTTTAAAAGATTATTTTAGATTAAAATATATATAATTAGTATTTTTAAAAAAAATAATTTGTAAAAAAAATGTATTTTATTGATTGGTTAGTCAATTATATGAAATTTAATACTTCTGAATTCTCGTGATTTGTATAATACCAAACTCAAGGGAAAGTGTTCACATGTTTTCACGTAAAACAATTTAAAATTGAAGATCAGGATAAAAATTATAGAAAGGATAAAAGAGCTAAGTCTTTCACGAAGCGTCGGTGGTTTAGTGATAGAATGCTCTCCTCCCAAATGAGTGGCCTGGATTTGACTCCCGGTCGATGCACGCTGTTCAATTTTCGCGACCTTCTTCTCTGCCCACTGTTTAAAAATTGACCGGAAGAGAAAGAGCTTACACATTGCGTAGCATCGGTGGTTTAGTGGTAGAATGCTCGTTTCCCAAGTGAGTGGCCCGGGTTCGATTCCCGGTCGATGCATG